CCTCGCGGCGGCCGCGGGGAGCTGCGATGACCGGATGAGTTTGCGTGGCTTTCACGGGCTTACAAGTGCTCCCAAACGAAAGGTGGGAAAGAAAGAAAAATAAATAAATGATTTCGCAATGCTCTGTGTTCGTTTTTCATACGTGTCTTTCCGTTCTCTGTAAATACTATTTTAGTATTTTAAAATATATAGATAGGGTACACAATGCAATATAGTTAAGAAAGATATCCAGGGGCAAGATTGAGCAAGAACAATTTTGAAAGGAGTCCAGAAAACTCGTTTCTCCTTGGTTTCATAATTCAGTTCCACTCTTGAAACTTGGGGGAAAAAAAGAAAAACTTGAAACAATAGTGCTTCCGTAAGAAGGATGGCACTTTGCATGACATAACCGTGGCATGGCTATAGCTGCAAGTCAGCCATACCAAAGAGTGACCCTATAGCTACCAGGCAGGGCCACATGATGGAGACAGCAAAGAGGGAAGACTAGGCAGGTGTTATGTAGCCTGGAAATATACCATGTACTTCTCTGATTTATTTCTCACTGTTTACTTCTCCTATTGCAAGTAGTATTATAAGTAATACTTCTTCCAAATTAATCTATTTGGAAACAGGCAGATTTCACTGCAGAGTGAAAGGAGGTGTTTGGAGTGACAGCTACAAGCCTGGATAGATTCTCCTACAGCTTGCAAGGATAAGTCCATGGGACCTTTAGTTGCTATGCTCTAAGCAAGGAGCAGCTCTGCGCTGCACACCTGTGCACCGTTCAGCCATGAATGCTGACTGCATCCTCTCCTGGAGGCTGGATGTATCCAGGGACATGGGCGTAGAGGTGTGGAAGACCCAGAGAGTTGTTTTATGAAGCAGTTGTCTTCCTCAAAAGACTACAGATTTATAAAAACTGTATCAATTCCCTTTACGAGCTAACTCCTGCATGAGTTAGGGGAAGTGTAAGATGGCATGGGCCAAAAGCATGCCAAGGACAAATAACAATGCAGGCAGTTTCATTCTGATGCCCAGAAATATTCCTGTACTAATATAGATGTAAATTTAAACAATTATGGGAATATTAACTGAGCTATAAAGTACACTCTTGCCTTTTTTATGCACACGGAAACTTAGGTAATAGTCTGTTCTGATTTGTTCATACTGACTTATACAAAGATATGTGGTACATCCCATGACTTCGGTGGAATTAACAGAATGTACGCTGATAGATTTGGAATGATAATTTAATGTTCCGCCAGATTACATTTTATCTTTCTGTGTTTTCTTAGGGCTAGATCTAAGCTAACTACTTACTAAATGCTTACCATTTAATACTACTAAATTTCTGCTCCACTTATATATACAGACAAACGTGTGATCCCGCGGACCCAAGCCCTCCCTCAGTCTGATTCCCAAGGCTTCTGAAGTGGGTAGGTGCACTCTTTTGCCATCAAAGCTCACAGGTGCTTGGAGTTCTTGCCTAATATCAGGAAGCATCCAACTCCTGACAACACTAAGCCGCCTGAACGCTGAAGAAAGCCTTTATCCAGGATTTACAGGCTGTTGGTTTGAATGCCTTCAGGCAGAAATGACAGATGAATACACCATCTCACAACCCCCAGTCTCAAAAAGCAACACAACTTGGATGAGGAGGTCACAGAGATAACACAACATTGGTCTTGTCCTGAGCATTTGGTCTTGTCCTGCAGGGATAGATTTAATTTCAAAGCTTCAAAGTGTTATTTTTTGGGGGAACATCAAGTTAGTGGTCTCCTCTGCAATCAAATCTTATGAATAAAATCATCTACAATGTTAATAAATATATCCCATCTTTAAAATAAATACCTTAATCCTCTGAATAAGGACTTTGTGAAGGAAGCATAATGACAAAAATAAAATAAAATAAAAAGATCAAATGTTGTGTTGGTGGACAGACTTCATTCCTTGGATGGTTTATGGAACAGAGGCACCATATCTGGAACTTAGAACAAAAGCCAAAGTGAATTTTGTAGCTCTATTAACTAACAAACACATGGTAGTCACTGTTTTCTGGGTAGCAATTTTACTAAATGTCACCAATTTCATTCCCTAATGAAATGTTAGAGAGCTAAAGGAAAGATAGCTTCACTTTTTGCTATATACGTGGCATACGTGAAAACAAGAAAATGTGTTCTTCTTGATTCTGTGTTCTAAGACTGGTGAAATTTTCATGCTAAGAGCCTTACACTTTCAAGCATGCTCTTGTTTCAGCTGATTATAACAGACATAAGGGTTCCTATCTATATTTAATAAAAGCAAGCACAACATTTTATGAAGTAATTGCACAGCAGAGCTGATTGTCTAAATCAAGCTCATAACCAATATATGAACCAAGAGTATGCTTAGGAGAAAAACCCAATGGACATTCATATGACCAGACTATAAATGTACTTCGTATTGCTTTCTATTGATCTCAGAACCCCAAAATAATGTTTTGAAATCCATTTGTTTTCCATAAGCATTACTACAGCTTACAAAAGTTCTAAAAAGTTTCACTGTTAGTTTAAAAACAGACTTTTCAGTCTTTACAGAAGAAAAGTAATATTTAATCTTCTTCAAGTTATATGTCAATCATGCTAAAAATAAATATGATGGGATGCAGCTGGTAATTCTGTTGGATTTGTAGAGTATCAGTTGGCTGACATGACAACTGGATATCCTAAGTAGAGGTGACATCTATCACAAAAATGAAGATTTGACACTCAAAGATGCTGCGTATAGTTTAGACTTTTCATCCCATTTAGAAGTCAATATTTCTTTTTTTAAAGATGAAGCCTTACCCTACCTGATGATTCAAGAATATCTATAGTAGCAAGTGGCAAGCAGATTTGCTTCCTGACCCCTGTGAGGCTAGCTTCATTTCTGTGAGCAGAGTATGCCAAGTAAGCATTACTTCAAAATCTATGTTTATGATTGTTACTTTTAAGATCTAGATAGGAAAAGCATCCAACATATGGTATTTTCCAAAATCTCCGTTCTGATTTATGAAACTGCAGAATATATTTTCAATATAATGTATGGTACATATGTGCAAAATAATATTTATGCACTTGGCTCAGTCATCTCTGTAAGCCTCCAGCTCTCAGAGGCAATGCTGAATGCACTGACAACTGCCGGGGAGGGCAAATGAGGCATTAAGAATTCCTCTAGTGATGAAATCAACCAGAGAATATACATAACCTGAA